TCAATTGATAATTCATGTTTTCCCAAATAAAAATTATATACGTCCTTATAAATTTCGTTTATTTCATTAAAATCTACGGCATTATTTTTACATTTTTCTTTTATATCATTTGTTGTTAAATTATAATAACTATCTAATTGAGCCTCTGTATTTGATATACAACCTGTAAAAATTTAATTTCCATAATTTACAAGAAATTAAATAAAAGTTTTTTTTTTTTGAATTTTATGGTAATAAATAAAAATATAATAAATTATAAAAATTTTATAGAAAATTTCATAATATGTACATTAATTATAATTATTATTTGTAAATATTTTATTTATTTTTTTTTTTTGAATACAAGCCACGGATTCTACGACTTTTTCTGACTTTTTATTTAAAAATACGACTTTTTTTCGACTTATTTTAATAAAATGCGACTTTTTTTACATTTTTTTTTTAAATTTTAAACAAAATACGTTTTTTTTAGTATACAATGCAGATCTTCTTCAAATCTTTTTTATTTCAATTATTTAACAAATTTTTAACTATAATTATTTACTAAATTAATTATTTTTAATAATTTTAATGAAATTCTTCACAAATTCAATTATCTCAAACTATTTTTTCAATTACAATTCTTATAAAATTTAATAATTGTTTATAATTTTAAAAAAAAATGGAAAATAAAATTACTAAAAATGTTTAATTCAAAATCACTGTAAATTTAATTATTTGCAAAAAGTTGAATTATTTTTAATGATTTTTAAAATATTCTTCGAAAATTCAGCTATCTGAAACCATTTTTCACTTAAAAAGTTTTCAAATTATTGTATTTTCGTTTGCAATTTCTAAAAAATTGTTTAGTGAAAGAATAAAAAAATTTAATTAAAAATCACTTAAAGTTCAAATAATTTCAAAAATCAAAATTGTAAATCTTTGAAAATTCAATTACTTTTAAAAAATTATATCTAAAATTATTTGATAAATTATTTTAAGTTCTGTAAAATTTAAGTATTGTCTTAAAATTAACAAAATCTTTTGAAATTCAATTATATCTAAAAAATTCAAACTATAACTCTTCCAAAATTATTATTATTTAAAAAAAAATTATTTGAAAATAAAAAAGAAATATTCGAAATAAATTTTCTTGATAATATTTTTTTAGAATTATTCTCATTACAAAATTAATAAAATGAATTTAATATCTAATAACATTAGTTATTTAAAGTAAAATATATATTAACCAGTTAAATTTTGTTAAAATAAAAAACATCGACTTTTTTTGTGCTTTAATGTCGATCCGAGGCCAGAAAATAGATTTTAGTAGGCGAGAAAAATTATACTTTCCATTGAAAATGTTTTTTTTTTACTTATAATAATAATAATAATAATAATATAGAAAAAAATAATAATAAATTAACTTACTCAGAAGCCCAGCAGCAAAAGTTGCGATTATAAAAATCATGTTCAACATAATTGTAGATACTTTGCAGTTCAACTATAACAAAATTAATATTTAGATTTCTTTTTATAATCGAACTATCCCTATTTTTTATTCTTTCTGAGCCAATATATGACGTGTAGATGCAATTATTTATTTTAACTAAATAAACATTACGCATTTATAATATATTGTGAAATATCATATTTCAACAAATGACGTACAAGATATTTATAAATATAATTGTTAAAATTTTGTTTTTCATGACAATGATTAAATTTACATTTATATTTTTATTTCTGTGGAATTTGAAAACTTAATCAGCCTTGAAAAAAAAATTTATGAAAAATTTAATAGTTATGCAAATAGGGAAATCGAGACTCATGTGAGTTAAACCTTGAGTTTAACACACGAACAAAGCGAGTGCGTCAAAGTCATACGAGTCTCGATTTCTCCTATTTGCGCCCATGCGCACGTTTCTTAATGTTACATTTTTTTTTTAATTCAGATATTTATTTTCAATATCTGCGTATAAACTGTAAAAATTTAGTTTTTAGTTATATGTAAATTTAACGTTTTCAAAGTTAGTTCCTTATGCGTCATTTTTTATTCTTCAGAAAATTGCTTTCATAGAGCACTTGAACAAATCTTTCCATAACTTGAAAGAAGAAAATATTTTAAATTATACAAATTTTTTTAATTTATATAAAAATAAGATTTCCTCGTTGTTTAAAAGTTGCAAAATTTTTTATATGTACATAGAGAATTTTTTTTATTTGGGTTTATTTGTGAAACAAATAAAATTTATTAGAATCAAAAATATAATTTTAATTGATTTAAATAAACAGCTGATTTGCGCTAAATAAACATTTATTGAATTTAAAAAAAAAATTACATTTTTATATAATTCAATTGTTACTCGGGGGTTTTTGGTGTCGCTGATTACGAATCTAAAATCAGGTTTTAAAAATTCAAAATGGCGGATCCAATATAGCGGACGATTTCTTGCTGGTAATAGGCAGAGTGGAACATTGCAAGTTTTACAAATCCAGGACGTTCGCTTTTGGTCAGCTTTTGTACTACAATGAGCACATATTGGATCCACATTTTGAATTTTGAAAAACTAACATTGGATTTGTAATCAGCGACCCGAAAACCCCCGAGTAACAAGTTTTAAGCAAATTTCGAGGATTTTTAAAATTTTCAGTCGCCATATTGTAACCGCCATTTTGAATTTCCAGAAACTGACTTCAGATTCATAATCAAAGACCCCAAAAACCCCCGATTAACAAGTTTTAAACGAATTGAATTAGATTTTCCAGAAGTCGTCCGACATTTTGGATCCGCTATTTTGAATTTTTAAAAACTGATTTTAGATTCGTAATCAGCGACACCAAAAACCCCCGAGTAACAATTGAATTATATAAAAATGTAATTATTTTTTTTAAATTCAATAAATGTTTATTTAGCGCAAATCAGCTGTTTATTAAAATCAATTAAAATTATTTTTTTGATTCTAATAAATTTTATTTGTTTCACAAATAAACGCAACTAAAAAAAATTCTGTATGTACATATAAAAAATTTTGCAACTTTTAAACAACGAGGAAATCTTATTTTTATAGAAATTAAAAAAATTTGTATAATTTAAAATATTTTCTTCTTTCAAGTTATGGAAAGATTTGTTCAAGTGCTCTATGAAAGCAATTTTCTGAAGAATAAAAAATGACGCATAAGGAACTAACTTTGAAAACGTTAAATTTACATAAAACTAAAAACTAAATTTTTACAGTTTATACGCAGATATTGACAATAAATATTTGAATTAAAAAAAAAATGTAACATTAAGAAAAGTGCGCATGGGCGCAAATAGGAGAAATGGAGACTCGTATGAGTTTGACGCACTCGCTTTGTTCGTGTGTTAAACTCAAGGTTTAACTCACATGAGTCTCGATTTCCCTATTTGCATAACTATTAAATTTTTCATAAATTTTTTTTTCAAGGCTGATTAAGTTTTCAAATTCCACAGAAATAAAAATATAAATGTAAATTTAATCATTGTCATGAAAAACAAAATTTTAACAATTATATTTATAAATATCTTGTACGTCATTTGTTGAAATATGATATTTCACAATATATTATAAATGCGTAATGTTTATTTAATTAAAATAAATAATTGCATCTACACGTCATATATTGGCTCAGAAAGAATAAAAAATAGGGATAGTTCGATTATAAAAAGAAATCTAAATATTAATTTTGTTATAGTTGAACTGCAAAGTATCTACAATTATGTTGAACATGATTTTTATAATCGCAACTTTTGCTGCTGGGCTTCTGAGTAAGTTAATTTATTATTATTTTTTTCTATATTATTATTATTATTATTATTATAAGTAAAAAAAAACATTTTCAATGGAAAGTATAATTTTTCTCGCCTACTAAAATCTATTTTCTGGCCTCGGATCGACATTAAAGCACAAAAAAAGTCGATTTTTTTTATTTTAACAAAATTTAACTGGTTAATATATATTTTACTTTAAATAACTAATGTTATTAGATATTAAATTCATTTTATTAATTTTGTAATGAGAATAATTCTAAAAAAATATTATCAAGAAAATTTATTTCGAATATTTCTTTTTTATTTTCAAATAATTTTTTTTTAAATAATAATAATTTTGAAAGAGTTATAGTTTGAATTTTTTAGATATAATTGAATTTCAAAAGATTTTGTTAATTTTAAGACAATACTTAAATTTTACAGAACTTAAAATAATTTATCAAATAACTTTAGATATAATTTTTTAAAAGTAATTGAATTTTCAAAGATTTACAATTTTGATTTTTGAAATTATTTGAACTTTAAGTGATTTTTAATTAAAATTTTTTTATTCTTTCACTAAACAATTTTTTAGAAATTGCAAACGAAAATACAATAATTTGAAAACTTTTTAAGTGAAAAATGGTTTCAGATAGCTGAATTTTCGAAGAATATTTTAAAAATCATTAAAAATAATTCAACTTTTTGCAAATAATTAAATTTACAGTGATTTTGAATTAAACATTTTTAGTAATTTTATTTGCTAATTTTTTTAAAAATTATAAACAATTATTAAATTTTATAAGAATTGTAATTGAAAAATAGTTTGAGATAATTGAATTTGTGAATTTCATTAAAATTATTAAAAATAATTAATTTAGTAAATAATTATAGTTAAAAATTTGTTAAATAATTGAAATAAAAAAGATTTGAAGAAGATCTGCATTGTATACTAAAAAAAACGTATTTTGTTTAAAAATTAAAAAAAAAATGTAAAAAAAGTCGCATTTTATTAAATTAAGTCGAAAAAAGTCGTATTTTTAAATAAAAAGTCAGAAAAAGTCGTAGAATCCGTGGCTTGTATTAAAAAAAAAATAAAAGATTTACAAATAATTATTATAATTAATGTACTTATTATGAAATTTTCTATAAAATTTTTATAATTTATTATATTTTTATTTATTACTATAAAATTAAAAAAAAACTTTTATTTAATTTCTTGTAATTAAAGGAAATAAAATTTTTACAGGTTGTATATCAAATACAGAGGCTCATTTAGATAGTTATTATAATTTAACAACAAATGATATAATTGAAAAATGTAAAAATAATGCCGTAGATTTTAATGAAATAAACGAAATTTATAAGGACGTATATAATTTTTATTTGGGAAAACATGAATTATCAATTGAGGATGTTTTAAATAAGACTGACGACAATTGTATGGGAGATTTAAATCTCACGAATATAATTGAAAGTGCATTAAAAGTTATACAAAATTGTCTTAAGGATGATATTTCCCTAACAGACGACGATATTAAAGTTTTAATTCGTCAAATTTTAAACAAATTATGTACTGTAACTCGACTTAGTAAGTTTTATTTATTAATATTTATAAATAATTTATTTATCATTATGTAATTATTAATATATGAAATTCTCTCATTTTTTTGTAGATTTCTACGAAAATAGTCTTAGCAATTGTATGGATAAGGATTTCGAAGAAAGGTGTGAAGAAAATTTATTTAAATCAGCAAATGTTACACAGGATACTTTAAAAAATATAAGAGTATCTACATATATAGGATTGAAATATTCTCCGAAAGAACGAGAGTAAGTTTTTAAAAAAAAATTCACTTTTTTTCTCATAAACCAGAAAAATTTTCATGTTTTGATGGTGGTTTATAATAAATTATTTTCTACTGATACTATTATCCTATACTATAATAATAAAAAAACAAGTTGTTCATTTCATAACCATTTAGCTTTCTCATCATGATAAACAACACTTATATTATTAGTGTTAAAAAGATTCAAAATTTCAGTTTTTTGTTAAAAATAAAAATAGCAATCAAGTTTATAAATATTGGTAAAATGTAAACTTTAAATACATCAATCGATTTGTTTTTATGCCAAAAATACAATTTTGACTAGAATTAATTAAAATTTCTATAAAGGAAAAAGTTATTTTAAAAAATACAAAAAACGATTTTTTTTCAAAAATTCAAAAAAATTCTAATTCGCAAATTCTATACATTTCAGTAGAATATGAACTTAATATAGGTTAATCGATTCGTTTTAATGCAAAAAATAAGTTTTTGTAAAAAATGTTTTAATTTTTATAAAATATTTTCTCTCTTTTTTTGAAGGATAATTAATGGACTGTTTTACTGTTCATCAACTAAAAACTGTACTCATGAACAGAGCCGTGCGCATTTGAATTTGGAACTCAGAGTGATGGCTGCAGTATTAGATGAAGTTTATTAAAAACGTTATGTTTTTAATTTTCAACTGTTGAAAAAAAATACAAAATAACTTGTATTCTACTGAAACACTTTTTAAGTAATCGAAGTTTAATTAAATTTTTGAAAAGTGTTATTTGGTAAAATTATTTAACACAACTTTTGATTTTTCAAAATTGTAACTGAAAAATTTTTAAGGTTGCAAATTTGTTTCAGTTAAAATATTGTCTATTATTTTGAAAAATATTAATATTTGAGAAAAATATTTATAACATATATATAATGATTTTTAAAGCTTTTTTGACGAGCTACACGCTGTTAATAAAATTTTTTTTTTTTTTTAAATAACATTTGACCTTGAAATTCAAGGTCAAAATGTTAATTTACGTTTATCTCAAAATCGGATTTTTTAAAATTATTTTTAACTATCTCAATGGAAAGCTTGACTAATTTCCTACAAAACATGTAATTTTCAGAGTGGGATCTTTTAAAGTTTTTGAGATATTAATTAATTAATTAATTAATGTTTATAACAAATGAAATATTTTACAAACGAATAAAGTTACCGTAATGCTGAAGTTAGTAATTGAAAGTTAACGTAATTCCTCATCCAAAAGCCCTATATGAAGTATTTTTGTTCAATTTTAGTTATTTAACAATAAAAAATGAAATATCTTACAAACAAATAAAGTTATCGTAAGTCTAAACTAACCAATTGAAAGTTAAGGTAATTCCGCATCCAACGAGCCCTATATGAAGTATTTTGGATAAGTAGATTGTTAATAAACAATTGCAATGTTAACTAATTGTTTATTAACAATCTACTTATCCAAAATACTTCATATAGGGCTCGTTGGATGCGGAATTACGTTAACTTTCAATTAATAACTTCAGAATTATGGTAACTTTATTCGTTTGTAAAATATTTCATTTGTTATAAACATTAATTAATTAATTAATATCTCAAAAACTTTAAAAGATCCCACTCTGAAAATTACATGTTTTGTAGGAAATTAGTCAAGCTTTCCATTGAGATAGTTAAAAATAATTTTAAAAAATCCGATTTTGAGATAAACGTAAATTAACATTTTGACCTTGAATTTCAAGGTCAAATGTTATTTAAAAAAAAAAAATTTATTAACAGCGTGTAGCTCGTCAAAAAAGCTTTAAAAATCATTATATATATGTTAACTTTTATGCATTCTACTTATAAATATTGTACATTGAAAAAAATTTTTTTTCAAAAGTCAAAAATTAAAAACGTTGTAATTCAAAAACTATTTTATTAAATTCAATAATTATTGATTTTTAGACTTTCACCAACAATAACAACATTTTAGAAAAGTGTAGATTAAATTCGAGAAATTTTAATTTTTTGTTCGGACATTTCAGGAATTTTGCCTCATATATCTATAATTTTATGATTATGATTTTAAAGCAAAATAATATATAAAGAAAATTATTTTAAAAAAAAATGTCTTTTTGTTTATTTGGCTAAATATTTTCGAAGTAATTTACGATTTTTCTTTTCTTTATTTATAAAAAATACACGGGCTGAAAATTTCCATTTGTTAATGAAAAGTATTAGAAAAATATAAATAATTCACAAAAGAAAACTTTATTTAAATGACTATTATTGTTATCATAAATTAGACTATGCAAATTCTAATACAGGAAAGAAAAATGTTTATGAAATTCTGAACGTTTAAATGTACAAAACATTTATTTACTAATTTTTCAACTTAAAATTTTATTATAAAATATTGTTTTCTGTATCTAAAAATAAATTAATAATGTACCTATTAAATTAATTTTTAATTTTTTAATGCTATAGTGATTTAAAAATAATTATAGAAATTATAGTATTTTTAAAGAAAAAGATTATTTAAGGAGGTTTGACCCATCAACATAACCTCAAACTAAAAAGTAGTTTTTAACAAAACTAAAAATATATTTAAAATTAATTTTACCTAAATTCAAAAGACTCAGTTGTACAATTTTCAAAAAAAAAATTATTTTAAGTTAAAATCTGTTGTTAAATCTATATTAATAAAATTAGACTTTTGTCTGTATATTGCTTAGAACTTAAAATTCATGTATAATTCTTCGTTTCAAGTCATAAGGATTCTAAAAATAGCATTAAAAAAAATTCTGTCTGTCTGTCTGTCTGCACAATATTTTGTTCGCCAATCACGCATAAACGGCTTGACCGATTTAAGTGAAACTTATCTTTTAGGTATTAGACTAACTTAAAATCTTAGCTATACCCCATTAAAAAATATTAACTTGAATGGAAGTTATGGCACTTTTTGTAAAAATCGAAATTTAAAAATTTTTTATTTTTTCGCTTATTTTTACTAGACTTTTTTTAAGAAGTTTTTTGAGGTTAATTAATCGCATTTTTACCTTAAAATTGAGAAAATAACTGATAGATTTAAAATTGTGAAGAAAAATTCCAAAAATCAAATTTTTTAAATTTAATTTCTGTTATATTTTACTAAACCTTTTTTAGCTATGTTTTTGAGTCCAATTAATCAAATTTTAACTTTAGAATTAAAAAACATGACAAATATAAAGAATTGAAAAAATGTTTTTTTAGTAACAAACTTTTTATAATTATTGTTTTCGGGTTATAGATTTTTATTTTAATATTATAGTTTAAATAATATTAAAAGATTTTAAGTTGTAAAAAAAATATAAGAAATTAAAATTTGAAAATAATTATTTAAATAAATTTTTATAATGCTGTTTCGATTTTGTCTCAACTGATTATTTGCTAACTTCATTCCCGCAATTGACTGTCTTATTTTGTCAACACGTTTGACAGATGTTTATGGAAAGAAGCAAGGAAATCGATACAGATAAAAACAATTAATTATAATCGATAATAATTATTAATATATTATAATAATAATAATAAAATATTCAATTAATATTAAATCGAATATTTTAAGCCATCGAATAAAGGAAGATTATTTTTCAGGTATTTAAAATAAATAATTAAAAAAAATTTTTGACATTCATTTTGATAATATTTCTTTTTGACATTTTATAATTTTTTTAACAAGCATTCTAATTATCTTCAAAAATACATTTAAAAAATTTAACATCTATGTTAAATTTTTTTTAATGTATTTTTGAAGATAATTAGAATGCTTAGTTTAAAAAGAAATTAATTTCTAAAATTTTAAAAAAATATTTTTTAATTTTGTAATAATTTTTTATAATTATATTTTATTCTTTAAATATACTTTTAAAATTGTTTATTTGCGAAATTTAAAGAAAATTTAATACAGGTTTAAATAAAAAGTGTTTATAATAGTAACCTATATTTTTTTGGGAATTTATAAAATTTTAAAAAAAATTTTAATTTTGTGGTAATTTTTGATGATTAAATTTCATTTTTTAAATTAATTAAAAAAATTTTTTTAAATAATAATCTGTATTGTCTTATGAAATTGTATATTTTAGAAAAATATTTTTTAATTTTATAATGAAATAAATTACATACATTCCCAAGTAGCACGTTTTATTGCCTCAATATCAAGGGAATATTACATTTTAGATTCGTAATGTTAGCTGTAATCAGGGTAATATTACATGTAATATTGAGGCAATGTTACCCGGTAATATTGAGGGAATATCACCCCGCAATATTGAGGGAATATTGAGGGAATATTACAGGGGATAATATTGCCTCAATATTACATGTAATATTACCCTGAAGCGACTATCTATACAAAAAATTATTTGCACGAAAATACATTTTGTGTTTTTCTTAAAAGTTAGTGAACAAATTTTAATTTCTATCCAATTTTTATAAACAATGGCTCATTTTTCTCTTTGAAAAATTCTCTACAATTTTCATTTTCTCTTTTTTTAAAATAATAATTTATTTAAAAAAAATAATTAAAAATTTAATTTGTTTATTAATTTTTGAATAAATTATTTTTAATAAAATTCAACGAAGAGAATTGTAGAAAATCTTTGAAAGAGAAAAATGAGCTATTGTTTTTAAGAATTGAATAAAAATTTGTAATTTTTCATCAACTTTAAACAAAAAATATAAAAAGTGAAATAATTATTATTTAACAACAAAATTTTTTTTTGAAAATTGTACAACTGAATCTTTCAAAATTTTGATAAAATTCATTTTATTTATATATTTTTATTTGTTGTTGAAAACAACTTTTTTAATTTGAGGTTATATTAATGGGCTAAGCATCCTTAAATTTTAAAAAAGCTTGAGTGAAATTTTAAATAATTTAATTTTAAAAATTTTGAACAATTAGAAATTGTATTTAAATCAAAATTAAAAGTACTTATGCACAGAAAACATAAATAATAAAACATTATTTATAGGTTATGTTACCTAAATCGTATCCCATGTATAAAAATTTTTAATTTTAATTTAAATTCAATTATATTTAAAAAAAAATTCTAGTCAAAAAATTTTATTATTTTGACACCTGAAAAAAAATTTTTTTTCTTCAATCGTTGATAATAATAAAATTTGTGAACTTATAACCTTAAAATTTCATTAATCCTTTAAAGGAAAACTGAGTAGTTTTGTAAGAATACTTTAGATTGAGTAAAAATTGTCATCTAATTATTATTTTTTAAAACTACAAGTTGTGCTATACAGAAAAATGAAACGCATATTTTTCTTCTACACCGATAAAAATAAACTAGAAAATCGTATAATAATATTTCCAGAAACTAATAACTTTGTATGCACATTTTTTTCATTGAAATATAACATAAAATTTCAATGATTTTCAAACTGTTAAATACTGATCTATAAGTCATTAAAATATCATATGTGGAAAATTAATTTTTCATTTTACACATATATATATATATATGAGTAATTAGAAGGCATAAGTGAATAGAACGTGTGTAAATGAATGTTCCAGGATAAAGAGTATAAATCACGTTCTTTTACGATCGCCATCTGATTTCTTCTATATAATACATATAGGTACGTAATATTTTCTCAGATTGATAATAATGTCGAATGCGCCAATTTGCGATGAAATTAACATGCACGCGTGATTGCTATTTTCCGAAGAAATAAAGGCGCAGTATATATTGGACGAATCACGGATATAAAGCCTGTTCGATGAGCAGACAGTAATTTTCCACACCATCATTCTTTGTAAAATAATAATCGTTATATATATATATATTTAGAAAAAAATATTTAAGACGGAGAATAATTCTTTTTGTGAAAAAAATATATATTTTAAATTTTATTCAGGTCAATAATAAAGAAGATAAAAATAAAAAAAAATAATTTACTATTTATTGAATATTTTACAATTATTTAAATTTAAAAATATTAATGTCATGTAAAATTTTCAAACAATAAACAATCAAGAGAATAAATATAATCATTAATATATTCTCATAAAATATATTATATAGGAAACTTCAACAAGTTTTTCATATTTAATTATTATTTTCTTTTACAATTTCTTTAAAGAATGAAGTTAACACCTTTTGCGTTTAAGTTAATAGTCGTTAAAATGCCAAAGATGATGACTCGATGTTGAATTATACTGAATGAATAGAGAAATTTTTCAATAAATGGATAATCAACGTTAATGAATTTTTTTTTTCTAATGATTTTACGATTAGAGTGAAAATTGTATGTTTTATAATATCATTTTGTTATTTGAATTATTATATTTATTTTTATGGTTAATCGTTTATTATTCAAAAATTGAAAGATTATA